GGGTAGACTTGCAAGCATGGTGTTTACAGTTCCCACACCTGTCTCATGATTTGAAATTCCCAAGTCTGATTCCGAAAAACAGCGTGAATCTTTCTCTTCAGTAGGTGTACCTGGCTCTCTACTATCGCACCCAGATCAAGATGTCCAATTTTAGGCTCTTTTGAAAATGGTTGAGCAGGGTTAAAGTTAAGCCAATCAAAGCGTAATCAAGACGACAGAATAGGTAACCTATTGAGGAAACTACATCCCGTGTTTTTTATTTGTGTATGATAGTTCCAAATGAGCTGCAACATTGCCTTTGGCCTGCAGCTGGTCGGGCATTATTATGTGCCCATTAGGTCTTTGAAGAGAGACAATTGTGCCAATGATACGACTAAGCAAAAGCTTAATAAAAAGATAAAGAACTGTGCAAAAAAATACTGACTTTATCAATAATCAAAATTAATACAGCCGACATCTAAAAACAAACAAAAACGACTAAACCGACGCATCAGCATACCCACAAGTTGTACTCTCCGTAATGTGTATTCCACAAACTGCCGAAACTGGTCGACCGCACGTTCCATGTCCTCTAACACATTTGATATCGCGGGGTCTCTTGCCACTTAAATGCAACAACTGGGGTTTCAGACCCACATCTTGAGTGTTCCAAGATATCATAATTACGTTTATCTCTTCTATATTGTTCATATTACAAGTGATTTTCAGTTCTTAAACTCTTTTTGTCTGCCTCTGCATAGCTGTTTGTTCCTTTTATTTGTCCAGGCTTACACGTTTTCCCACCCTTGCCCACATCTTAAGATTCTATGCCTCTTTTATTAATTTTATCTGTATATGACTTGTTTTCTTTTGTAAGCCATTTCCGAACTCTCTTTCATGTTTACTTCAATGTACATGTTCGAACTCTCAATTTTTCTCCAACTTTCGACCCCAGAATACATCATACGTCTCCATCGGTGTTTCCGTCAATCGATTATCACCCCCCAGACACACTCCTATTTTTGGTCCTTTAAACATTTTGTTTGCTCATACCTTCATTGGTTTACTCTTTCCTAACATTTTCTGCACTGTTAATTTTCTTTAAAGGTTAAATTATCAGTTCTCATTCCTGCCACCTCCCGTCTCCCCCCATTTCTCTCTCTCTCTCTCTCTCTCTCTCTCTCTCTCTCTCTCTCTCTCTCTGCCTCTGCCTGTGCTAATCTGTCCAATCTGTTCCCAAATTTCAGATTTAAAATAAACGAACAAAGCACTATTCTGCCTAGGAAAACGTTTTCGGCTGTCTTTTTCTGTTTCGTTTTTTTTCCCCACTTTAATTCACTACATGTATATCGATTTGCCGCAAGATAACACTAGCCTTGGAAAACAACAAATGTAGGGCACACGTGTGTAGTACGTGCTTGCAGTGCGCATGTAAACTGGAAATCTGCTCGCTCTTATCAATTTCTTTTCAAGGTTCAGAGACAGCCAGACGGCTAGGTAATTTGTGGTCCTCGATAACGGCATGTGTTGAACAACTTCACAAGCATAAGATAGTAGAATGTGTGTGTGATTGTATGTGTGTGTATCTCTATCTTTCTTTTTCTATTTCTCTCTCTCCCCACTCATCCCCCCCCCTCTCTCTCTCTCTCTCTCTCTCTCTCTCTTTAGCCGTTAAAGTTTCTGAATGTCTTTTTGTGTCTCTGTCTCCGCCCTCCTTAGCCTGTTTGCACACTCACACACACACACACACACACACACACACACACACAACA